TTTGATCTGCAAGAAAATAGAATTAACATAGAAATTCTTAAAAATTCTATAAGTAGAATTTTTAACCGTCACAACGTGATCCTATTCTGCCTCTCCTTTCATTTTTTGTATTTCATTATTTAAAGCCAATATCAATTTTTTGAATTTAGCAATTTGTGGGGTTGGAGTTGGAGAGAGATATTTGTGTAAAAATTATATAACCTCTATAAAGATTATATATATTATGGCATTTTCTGAAAAAATGTCTTGGAGTACCTCTATTATTAGAATATTCCTGGTTAGCATCTTATAAATTATAATTACAATGCTGAAAAGTATGATCAAAAACATATTAGAGTTTGAAAGCATTTTGTGATGAGAGATTAGTATGAGAGATTGGTTTGAGAGATTTGTTTGAAAGATTGGTTTGAATAAGATTTATAAGGTATATGCAAAACTTTATTTTTTGATTTGCGATATTTAAGACTGATTATGCTTAAAAGATTTTTTGCTTTTATTTAGAGCAGAGTACTTAGAGTATGTTGAGGATTGATTGAATTATGCTTTTGCAAAATTAATATATTACTTTTTATTTGGTTCTCTTATCAGATATCATTACCATATCCAGTATTTTTATAAATAAAATCTTGTCACTATGATCATCATAAAACATGAAAGTTTCTGGAATAAATATGATAATCTTATCTATTAATTTGCTGATCCTGATTTTGAAATTAAGATATATTAACATGCAGGCCTCTTATCAATTAATAAAGTCAAAAATATTAGCATTCTCCTCGATTAATGTTTTCAGGCAAAAAGTTTATTATTATTTTTCTCACTAAAATAGTTAGGTTATCTCCTACAGAAGAAAAGCTTCAAGGAAAATTGTCATAAAAGTTCAATTTGTCATAACGAACCTAGAACGTGAATAGCTCATCAATCAATAACCCAATTTTGATGAGGATTGCACGATTGGATTCAGCAGGTTCTGAACTTCTATCATCTCAAATTCGTAAAAATCTGATCACTGGATGCAGAGTTATTTCAAGAAATATAAGGTCAATTATTTTAGACATAATCACGAAAGAATCTTGTGGAGGCAAGATTGTTAAAGTGGCGTGAGAAATGATGATGACCTGACAACCTACAAAATACTAGTTGTTGGTTCTGGGAACCTAAAGGAGGTGAGAAATTGATAGGTTATTATGTAAGAATTCATAACTACCTAGTGAGTCTCATAATGTATTATTAGTATTATATAAGAATCAAAACTTCAACCGCCTATGAAACGTGCTCCAGATGTTGTAGGATTCCCAAACTAATTTGACCAGATGCAGGACACCGAGAGCTTCAAAACAAGCTAAGGTATGAAGTATTTGGATCATAGAAACCCAAAATAGCCTTTACAGTTGAGAAATTTTACTGTGCCACATCATGGGTTAAAAGTTAACAAATCGTAGATCGATTTTGCAAAATGTAATACTGCAGAACCGTCGCAATTTTGAAGAACAATATTGTATCATCCTCTAATTGGGCTTATGCAATGTTAAGACATATTTGAGCAATTTGATAATATCTACTTCGGGCTATTAATGGTAAAGGATTGCATACCTAATATATAAACTGTTTTTTTAGTTAATTTTCTACTTCTGTGAAAGTAAACTTATATATAGTCTTCTCACAACTTAAGGCATATTTTTTCAATCATATGATAATACTTTGTGAACTTCATCAACTATTAGACCTTTACAAATAAGTTTTTGCAATTCCGTATCTGTTACTGTAATGCTTTTAGACTGGGTCTCATTTGCTGATGCTGATTTGACGAAAGTTGCTAATATATACGACTTTTATTCTTTTTGCGGGCCAAGGTCTATTCACTAAAGTAAATTGGGAGAATTCAAAATTTCAAAGGAAAAATAGCAGGCATAATCACTGCGAAAAGGTATAGAGATGACGTCTTACTGCGCATGATATTATAATATCAGGTTGTGTAGCATTGCTCACATCACGTGATAAATATGTCCAAGTACATAAATAAGTTATTGGCATATCCAAATCTTCTCTAAGCGTCATATAATCTATTCTTATTTCTAACAATAATGTCTTCTCCAAAAAAGCATATGAATTTAGATGTTTATAATATTATTGAAATCAAAGACTGGTCATATGATATTTTAGTAAAAAGGTATCGTGCGAATTTAAAGAGAAAAGATTTGAGCTATATACTAGGTAATATTAAAAAAGATCTTGTAGTTGTGGTGACTTCAGAATCTGGATTTGACGAGAAACAAAAAAAAAGGCTCAGGAAATTATAGACCATTGGAAAGTAAGTATACTAATAAGATTTAATTTAACAAGTCTGAGAAAAGCTGGTGACTCTTAGTCGCAGTTATGAACTCTTAGTTCTTTCATTTCAAGCGTAAGCAGGAACTCTTAGTTCCAGTGACACAAGTTCACAGCTATAAACTTTTAGTTCGACGCTTGAGTAAAAGCTGTGACTCTTAGTCCAAGTGACGAACTGTTAGTTTGACGTAACAAATATTAATTTTATATTTTGTTTTGCTAAGGGTTAGAAGACTATATCAAAAGAGAGAAAGATGAATTTAAAACGTGATTTTTCACACTTTACGATTGATAGTTTATGAGTGAGCTTTAATCTTAATCCTATAATATACAGTAAGACATATCCAGTAATACTGTATTTTCTTTCAATCAGATAAATCATCAAATGATTTCAACAGAAAGTAATGTGATCCAAATTAGTGATAACTGAAAATATTTTCGAAATAATAATGGTGAAGCTGTAAATATTTCTGATGAAACGAATATTATTTGTGGTAAGAAGATTATTCATTTTGGGATAGTATGAGAAATTAACATATACTTATCATTATCTTTATTTTGTTATCAGATGATAACCTTCCGGATGACATTAAGAAATAGGCCTCAGAAGATGTAAAAAAATTTTTCATTTCTAGAATTAAAGCCTTAGATTATAAAGAAACTGATATAAAAAATATAAGGGATCAAGACCTAACAGGTCGAGCATTTCTCCGACTTACAGAAGAAAAATTACCCTATAAGCCAGGTTTATATGAGTTAAAGCCAAGTCCAGCTGAATCAATAATGGAGTTGGTAGAAGAGCTGAACGAAAAATTAGATAAGTACATTATACCATTATACTGTAATTTCAAGTTTCTTGTCTTATTTATATTATTTCTCTTTCAAGCCAAGAAAGAATCATCATAAGAGTCATACTTTTATTTGCAAATGCCATGGTGGGTTCACTATATGAATATTCTGCATGTCTAAAATAAATAATTATAAATAGAAAAATAATTCCCAAATACTAGTTAGCAAATTTACATTTTATTTGTTTTATTTGTTGCAATAAATATTGCTAATAATAATGCAAAAACATTAATAAAATGCACTATTTTTATTATGGATCAATATATACAATTTTATGTTCTACTGAGGTAAATTTAGCTTTTTAGCATAAAAATATATATTTAACACTGTCTGCGATTTAGATATTATGTTATATATTATAGATTTATTATAGGTCAAAATTTTTTAAACGCTTGGTTAACAAAACCCTTAATTTTTCAAATTCTTTCAGGAATAACAATTTCCGGTTTTCATCATACTATATTTTGATAAGGAAAATTCCATTATGCATCTTTTTTGCCAATCACGATAAATGATATCCTCAAGTTTTTTGATATCTTTGTATCAGCTAGTGCTATGAAACCGATGCTGAGCTCCTTGCATCTCTAATGCAATTTGATATTTTTGAAAGAAAGCATCAAGCTCTAATCCATTTAAGAAAGAAGAATGATACTCAATTATTGGCTCCTCATAAAGAATTTCCTTGGTTATCTGGATGCATCTAGTCTGAAATTTGCAATTTTTCTTAGATTCTGATTCTTTTTCAAGCTCATTGATCTAACTTCTTAATTCTAGAATCACGTCTGTTACTCTCTTCCATCATCTGCCTTATAAGTTCTGCATTTCTGGCATCAAACTTAGTAATACATTGCCTCAATAAATCTATTTCAGTTTGCATATCTGTGTAATATCAAATGTTAGTATTCAAAATCGGTAAAAACATCCTGATTATTTCGAATTTTGTCAAGAAAAAAAATGAAGAAACAGATGCTGTGCATGGATCAGCAAATTCTTCTGAGCTGGTGATCACTGCTCTGGGATGATGATCAGTATTTCAGACTTGAAATTTTTCACATTAAATATATTACTTTATTATAACAATCATGACAAATAATCACGAAACGCTTAATTTATTATATGAAGTGCTATTATATAATAAGAAGGATATAATAGCTATTTAGGAAAAACTCAGTATTAGTGATAATGTAAATCAAATGGCAAACATTGAAGCAAAAAAAGCAGAAAATACTTGCTGATTCATATGAGCTGTTGTTAGAATTTGTAGAAAATTTAATACTGATACAGGAGAATCTCAACATTGATAGTAAACCTGTTCTAGAAGTAGAATATCAAAGCAATGAAGCTTCTACAAATATTTCATTGAAGGAGATATTTAATTTGCTTATGTATTTAGAAGAAGATATAATAGCAATTCAGGAAGAACTCAATATTGTTGGCTACACTAATCAAGAAATAGCAGAAGAGGTCGATAAAACTGCAAGAAAATATCTTCGAATACCATGATCACTTAGAAGATATTTTAAGTGTATTAATACAAAAATTCATCAATAGGGAAGTAAAAATGTTTTATTTTACCGGAAAGAGAATATCATTATTTTCAAAGGTCTCTTCTCAACAATTACACAAAATATAAAAATCTATCTAGTGCTGACCAGTGCCTACGTCTAGAACAGGTTAGCTAATTTATATTTTTATCACACAGGACACATATAGATGCAAAAAAATTCTTTCAAGCTAATGATCACCGCTCTGGATTAGTTAGATCAGTAGAGTTATACCTTTCTGCTTGATCATTAAGTAATCTATCAACAGATCTCAACATTAAGGTGAAAATGATACCTTGAGTCAGTGTTTGTCTGTTTATAGCTATAATGGGATAATCAGCATCAGAGTCAACTATCATAGATATATTGGAATTAGGTTGTCAGAATGCCTGGTAAAACTGAGTTCTAATATTAGCAACTAGAGACTGTGTTGATATTAGCTCTATCACTTTCTTTATATCAGCTTGAATATCAATCGCATTCCAAAAATTCTCAATACAGATATTTGGATTTAGCTGATCAATAGCTTCTTTGCTAATTTTATAATACCCTCTCAGATTTAGATATTTTAAATTAAGATATGATTTAGCAATTTCTTTGATAGTTATATTAGTAATTTCACAATAGCTAAGATCAAGTTGCCGGAATCTTGGGCAAGAACGAATAATATTACAAATTGATATTTCAGAAAACTCTCTATGATTAAAAATATTTAGACATTCTAATTTATGACATGAATCTGCAATTGCAGTTAGACCTTTATCATTTTTTGATCGAAATGCATTACATAAAGCAGATATATTAAGATACTCCAAATTTGAGTATGATTCTGCTATTAGCTTTAGAACTTTCCCAACTGACTCAGATTCCATACTTCTCTCAAAATCTAAATGAATTATATTTTGAAACCTATATACAATGCTTTTGATTTTTCTATTTGAAAGTCGGTAATCTGATATTTTAATATGAGTTAATTTTGAGCTATAAAAATTGGTTTACGCTCTTTCCCATGTACTATTTTAAAAATCTTTTTAATTGAGTTTGATCATTCCTAACACCATTTAGCTTGATGCGTTTCCATAAAATAAGGGTACTACATCTGTATCACAATCAGGATATGAATAGAGTAGATAGAGGGATTATCTAACGCTATAAAATATAAAACCTATCCTAATATTTCTGGTATAATAAAAACACTTATATGCAGTATATAAAATCTAAGTTAAAATTTATGTGCACAAGTTGATTAATTATTACTAAAATAAGAAAATCATAACATTTTCTTATGTAAAATTACCTTTTTTGTATATAATTTATCTATTTTTAGTAATAATTTGTGCACATTTTATGTTGTGTAATATGTGCACACAAAAAATTAATGTGCATATGTGCATATTGTGCACATAGATTTTACACACTGCTTGTATGTGCTATAAATAATATGTATTATATGCCATATCTTTAATCGAAAAAATATTTTTTGAGCAAGACTAAAGCTGCTTCGCATGATCACTGCTCTAAACTAAGCCTTTTCATTATCTCATTTAACACAATATCTGTAAACTATTTATACAAACTTTAAATGTATTCTCAGGTGATAATCCTCTAAAGAATAGATTTTTAAGAAGCCATTCTGGATAGTCTTTGCTTAAATTACACACTTTCAATTTTGAATAAAATTCCTTTATCATATAATTACCCTGAGTCAATCTTCACATTTGAAATTTCATTTTTTCGGACAATACATGATTTGTCTCTCTTTTCATATATCATTTATACTGCAAGAATTTTTAGGTCCTGTTCTGGAAGATATTTTAGAATGAATGGTATTAATTTTGGTAGAAAAAGCTCAAGAAGATTTGACGTATGCATTTTATATAGTTAGAATATCTTTCAATTGGAAAAATCTTCTAAGTAGATGATCACTGCTTCAGACTATTGGTTGGACTGAGTCATGTTCAAATTTGACTATTAGCTAAATATAGGATTACAAAATTATCATCAAATGTTAACGTCAAATTACGCATATTCAAGTTTACACTATTTTCTCACAACCATGGCATTCCTAAGATTAAATCAGGAAAACAATCCAGCTAATCTGATCTGACAACTATAAATTCAGTAGATATGCTTTTATACTTCTTGCTATCATTAAAGGTATAATATAGATTAACTTTTCCTAATGTGGAATAAATCCTGTTTACTCTAGGATTGATATCATTTTTTTTGTATACCATTTCCATTTCATTAACACATTTTCACTAACACAACTTACATCAGCATCTATATTGAATACTACTTGGGTAAGGCTATTTTCTTCAACTGAGCAATTTATAAGAACTATTTTTATTATGACATATAATATCCAAATATAAAAATAAACTGGTCTAAAAGGACTAACCTCTATCACTGCGATCTAGTATTTATCAGATAGTTAATAGCCTTATTTTGTTATATGCATTTTCTCATGAATTTTTTCTTTGAGCTAGACTCTTCCAAATCTTTTGATGCTTAACCATATTTACTATTTCATTGATATCAGAATCGGATAAACTAGATTCAGATGAGCTAGTCTCAGGCAAAGTAGACTTGAGCGGGATATTAGTTAAGGATGTCAAATGCTTTTGGTCACTTTCCATTTTGATTATTTATCTATTAAACTTAATATCTTTGAT